ACGTCATTTTTCTTTGCTTTTAGAGCATTTTAAAAACATTTTAATTATTTTTGGCGATGTTTTAGGTCATCAAAATCTGTTGTCTAGTGTGCATTCACTGTGAGACGATAGCATACCCAATTTTTTCACGTCGTTGCACCACTGCAGAGGAGTTCCATTTATGCAAATGAGAGGGAGAACGAAAAGTAATACTTTTATTAGGAGCTTTGTGGAGCTGATTACAAGACACTCATATTTATTGGGGTTTATCAGCATTGATGACCAAGAGGAGAGACTATGTAGGTCTTTGTTGATTTTTTGAGCAAGTTCGAAATCGCGAGTAGGGTGTCCGCTAATATACAATTGGAGATCATCAGCATCCGTGTGATGACAATTTTCTATTGACTTGCCTATATCATTAATATAAATAAGAAACGCGAGGGGTCCTAACACTGAGCCCTGTGCAACGCCGCGCCTGCTAATGGCAATATACTCGACACAATGTCACCGCATTTTTTGTTGCCGCTCAGATAGATAGCTGGAAAACCATTTGAGTGTGGATGTGGCACATCCAATGTATTTTAACTTTGCTAACAAAATATCGTGGTCGACAGAATCGACCTTGCTGAAATCAAGAAGGACGAGAATTGAGATTTTACCGTTGCCCATTGCATTTCTGTCTTCAATTCCACTAAGGAGCGCAGATCCTGTGCTTTTACCGGGTCTAAATACTGACTGGTATTTGTTCAAAATACTGAAATTTTGAAGGTGATGCTCAATCTACGAGTATTTCCTAGCGATCTTTTCAAGAACTTTTAATAATGTTGGCAAGGTACTGTTGGGACGGTAATAAACAGGTGTCATAGGATTGGCGCTTTTAGGGAGAGGTTGGACAAGTGCTGTCTTCCAGGCCAAGGGGAATTCGCCGCTCATTAGCGAGAAATTAATTATGTCTACAATTGTCAAAGGTGCTACTTCAGCTCCGAGCTTTAGCAACTTTGCTTTCATTCCATCGGAGCCAGAGGCGTCTGATTTTAGATTCAAAATGCTTTTAGTGACGTCGGTAGGCGTTACTGACGTAAAGTAGAAAGAATACTAATATCTGTGCTTCGCAGTAAGGATAAAGTTCGAGATTTTAGGAATGGATTTATTGGCTGCGCAAGCTTGACGAAAGCATGATTTAGCGTATCAAGTGACACATTTATTTCTGTTGAATTTCGAATATTTCCAATAGATCGCACGTTTTTCCAGAGCAATTTAGAGTCTCAGTCATTTTGAAAAATGGAGTGATAATATTTAATTTTGGCTTTTATCAACATTTAAGTGACACGATTTCTAAGTTTTTTATACGTAGCATGGTCGTTGTTGTTGTTTCTTGTTTTCGAAAAACTTTATACGCAGTTCCCTATCATGCTTAATTTGGCGAATTTCAACAGATATCCACGGACCTGCAGGATGTGACATGCGTGACGTCTTTTGTGGTATATGTTACAAGTCCATTCAACAATTCCGTACTTTACTAATGAGCGAGGTTTCATTTTGAACAAGATTCCAAGGAACCGAAAAGCCATCAGAAACACAGGAATTTGTGTCGAAGTTCTTATAATCTCGATATTTTATTATTTGCTGTGTGCTTTCTCATTTGCGTTAATATTTACAAAATGTTATACAAAATATTTAGAAAAATTTTCAGTTGATGCGACGATTCCATTTTCGGTTTTATGCGTTTTTTTTATTTTTTCGGGCCCCAAATATCTTAGTCAAAATATAGACTTATCGGAATATCGGAGAGAATTCACCTCATCCTGGAGAATTTCGGGGGGAAATTTATTAGTATTGGAGAAAAATTTGCCATTTTAATTCCCATATTTCAAAAACTCATGAGTTTTCAAAAACAATCATTAGAGGTAAACTATATAGAGCTTTATGTGTTAACAAATGCATTTGACAATAAAATACATCTATGATATACACATGACATATCTTAAAAAAATAAATATATATATCATTTAGCATTACTGATACAAAATATTTGAAGAAAAAAATTGGGGCCTATTTTGAGAAAATCTTTTTAATATTTTTATATTATATGTTGTCCGTATTTCAATCGAAATTGTTAGAATACTATTAAAATATTCGAAAAAATGTACATGACTTCAACGAAAGAACTAATTATGGAGAACAAATTTCATTTGAAGGAAAAACCTCTATCTTCAATTTTGTACTTGTACGAGTAGGAAGACGCCGACAAAATTTCAAACTTTCCAAAATTTGGAATTCACGGTGAAAATCGGATCTATGACACATTTATAAGTGTATTTCCCTCTATTCTTGCATGGAACTTAAAGAAAATATTTGAATTCATTTTTGAGGATTTTGAAATGTCCCTGGGATTTCATGTAAAGTATATCCAAGAAATAATGAATGTTCTTCAAAATCGTAGTGCTATGAGTGAGGTTAAATCGACAGGGGTTTATTCAATTCCCGTACCCGACGGTAGGTTGGCACGGATCTCGCCATCCAGCGGGGCATGATGACTGCCACCTCCCGAGCAAAAACCATGCACTACTCTTACGGGACTAATAACCTAAGCCGTTGATGCTCCCGGAATTACTAAACAACCACGGCGCGTGTTTGCCGCCAGAGGTTAGGCGTTGGCGTGGCGCGGCGCTGGCGGCTGCGCGGTGGTGCAGGCGTGGCTGCCGCTGCTGGGCACGCGGCGCTGGCGCGGGCGCTGGCGCGGGCGCTTGGCGTGGCTGCGCGCTGTGGCTGCGCCGGCGCTGCCGCGCCGCCGGCTGTCGGGGCTGTCCCGGCGCGCCGTCCTCGTCACGGGCTGCGACTCGAGCTTCGGCCACGAGCCGCGCTGCGCCTCGACGCCCTGGGCGCGCGGTGTTTCGCCCAGGGTGCTGCAGCCGCGGGGCCCCCGGCCGCCTGCGCGTGCTGCCGCTGGACGTGACCGACGCCGCCTCCGTCGCCGTCGCGCGCGACGCCGTCCGCGCGGAGGTTCAAGAGCACGGCTGCGGTGAGTGGCGCGCGGGAGAAACGACGGGTGGGCTCCGCCGGTGCACCGATATTTGCTCCTTCTGCGCAGCGCCAGCATGCGTCACTAACCACGTCACCACAACACGGGCACGTCGTTTAAAAGCCAGACCAAGCGAAGGCGACCGTTAACATACAATGTAGGCTTTCACGGCCGGTTTCCACATCATAATCAGTTGTTTCCGGGCTTGAAGGCCGTGGTCCAATGGAGTTGCAGTTGCCTGCCACAGTTGCAGGCGAAACGTATGGACAAGTCTCCATTGGACCACGGCCTTCAAGCCCGGAAACAACTGATTATGATGAAGGCGACCATGTTGCATGGAGAGCGAGACGTTTTGAGAAAGCTTTTGAAAGTGACATAACGTGACAATTTAAAACGGTGACCAACCAAAAATAACACGATGAAGGTATAATTGATATGCAATATTTTAAAAAGGAGTAATTCATATATGATTCAATAACTTGTAACAAGGTGATAATTTTGGAAACACGCTGCATTTAAAGTTACTGATAATATTGTGACGCACACTGGCGCCTGATGCTCAATGGTTGAAGTCAGATGCGCAAGAGCCCTCCCATCTCTTTCCGCCATGGTGAGTGGCTTTTCGCCGGCGGCGGATGCAAGGGGAATCATGAAGGTTATGTGTAGCGTGGGCTACCGTTGTCGGTTATCTTCTCCTATTAAAAAAGTGCTATGCTTAGCGAGATCGTAGAGACAAGCTGAAGATTCCTCAGATCCACGGGAAATGAGTTTTATGCAAATGTATGCATGTTTGTTGCGGAGCATTAGTAGGAGAAACGCTCGTAGTTTGGTTAAGATGTAACTCGGTGAACTGTAAGGCATAAAGTCTTGAAAGTAGTTGTTTTGTTAGAATGAGGAAGAAATCATTTCTCAAAAAAGAAGAGATCGGCGGGAGGCAAAAAACATAACTGACGTCTTCGATTGAGACATTACATATGCCCCCTCGAAGCACTTTTCTGTAATTTTATCAATTTATTTCAGCAATAACCACATATTAATTGTATGGTATCTGAAGGAATATTATAAGCATACCTGTTTTTTGCATTTCAGGACAAACAATTTTTTTATTCAAAAGATATTTATTACGGGGAGGGGGCGAAATTCTTTAAATACTTTCTTGGTCTTCCCCTGCGTTCCACTTTGCGTTTTATCAACAAATGTGAGGATCTTTTGGGTTTTAAGGAAATTTTGTTTATCTTCTTCACAGAAGTGTCCCATCTTACTTTATCTTATGCATAGTGTAGATAATGTTATTTAATGTAAAAGTCGATGTTGATAACTTTAACGAAAAGAGGTGTTGAGGTCCCAGTGGTTCCCCCTTTTTTTCAAAACGACTCTCTCAGTCTGCTGGGGCTTTAACGCAAGAATTTTCAAGTGGGGTGTCAATTTTTAAGGGAGTGGTTATTTTTTTAGGTCTTAGTCTCTTAGTTCTACTTACCAAAAAACACATCAAATAGGGTAATACTTTTATGAACGTTTATTACACGTATCAAATAAATGTAAAAACGTAGATTTTTGAAATAAAAGTGTAACATATGTTCTTCAGAAGTTTACTTTTTCATTTGATCCCTCTGAGAAGTATATTTGAATCGGATTTCGATTTGGAGAAATTTTACGGCCTTGTAATAGAAGAAACCAAATCACCCTGGCGCATTATTTAATAATTTTGGTATATAATGAAATGTATTTGTTCATAATTTACTGCGTTTTTTATTGCAATCACCTCCTTACGCCTCCACTTTGTGGCACCTTTAACCACGAAAAAACAAACTAAGTGTTAATTCATTATCCGGAAAAGTACATCCAAATTTCTTCAATATAGGAGCTGGAGCCTCGAAATGTTTCCTTGTGAGTAGAGTAGTGGCAAGTACTTGGAGTAGGCAAGGTGCAAGGGTAGGCACTGCCTACCCTGATGAATATGTACTAGTATAATGCATTTCATATTAATAAAAAAATTAATGATTCATAATTTTCATATGGTGTAAGTAGTATTCATCTGGAAATGTATTTTGAACATTTCATCAATGTTCAACAGATCAACAATGAGAATCAAATTATAGGCAGTGGTCGACCTACTACTATGTTGAGTATGCTTCTGCATCATGCGTGCTAGAAAAATGCAAGAAAATTTAATACTTCATGGAATGATTCATATAAATGGCTAACAGGTAGTAAAGTTGAAGGTAAGCTTTATTGTTGGCCATGTCTTTGATTGGCAATTAACGAGAATACTTGGAATAAAGTTGAATATTTTGACATGAATCATTATAAAAAGATATACAAAAACATGAATGGTCA